TTACGCACGAAAGCCACCTGGGTGACTTTGGGCCAATCACCAGGAGAATGGGAGTTCTAGTCCCGCCTTAGGCACGAAATCCAGTGGGTGACTTTGGGCCAATCTCCAGGAGGATGGGAGTTCTAGTCCTGCCTTAGGCATGAAAGCCGGCTGGGTGACTTTGGGCCAATCACCAGGAGAATGGGAGTTCTAGTCCCCCCTTAGATGCTCGGTGACTTTGGGCTAAACGCCATGAGACGGGGAGTTCTAGTCCCGCCTTAGACATGGGTGACTTTCGGCCAATCGCCGGGAGACCAGTTCTAGTCCCGTCTTAGCAGCTGGGCTAATTTTCAGGAGACAGGAGTTCCCTGGAATGCGAGCATTTCTGCTTTGGGGATTGCTGCGCGGTCTCCCATCCATGGGCTAAACAGTTGGAAGCCAGCCAAATATCTTCTCAAGGGGTGGATGGGGGGGGCTCTCCTCCTCCTCCGTCCCAGGCCGCCCAGGTTAAGCTCCGCCGGGGACAGGCCCGGCCGGACCTCCAACGCCACACCCGGAGCTGCGACCGGCCGCCAAGATGGACTGCGCTGGACGGCCACGTGCTCCCGCCTGGGCTCCTGCCGGATCCCGCCCCTCTCCCGGTTCCAACCAATGGGCCCACGGGGTCGACACTCCCCCTGCATTCCGATTGGTTAACACCCCCCCCTCGCGGAGGCAGGAGGAATTTTTAAAACAATCGACCAGCCAATAGCGAGTTGAGGGCGCCGCAAGAGGCGCGTGAAGGAGGAGGTCCGGCCTCTCCGTCCTATGATTGGATGTCAGAGGTTAGAGCCGTCTCATCATTGGCCACCAAGGGTTTGGGGGTGGGTGGAACTTAAGGGAGAACCCCCGTCGGGGGGGCGTTGAGCAACGTTCGGTATGGCTACTGCGCCTGCGCCCGAGTTGGGGGCAAAGGAAGATTCTCGGGAGAGTGAGGGGAAATCCCCGCCTTTCGTTTCCCATTGGCCGCGGGATGAGGAGGCGCGTGAAGAGAAACGAGCGCTTAGGCTGAAAGGGAACGGGGGCGTGGCCAGCGCGGCCTCTCCCTCCGCCCCTCCTGCCGATTGGTCGGCGGCTCCAGCCGCGAGCGCCGGCCAGCGCCGCTCATTGGCGCGTCCAGCCGGAGCAGGGCGGGGCCGAGCTGGCGCGGGAGGGGGGGAGGAGGCGGCGCGTCCGGCGGCGCAGGCGCAGAACCGCACGCACGGTCACGCACGGCCTATGTATATGTGTGTGTGTGTGTGCGCGGGCGCGAGCGAGGGAGCGAGTGAGGGGAGGGGTGAGGGAAAGGCCGCGCGTTCCGTGAGGGGAAGCTCTCGCTAGCTCGGCTCGGGCCGCGGAGGCTGCGGAGGGGGAAGACTCGCCACGGGAGACCGAGGCCGAAGAGGAGGCCGAGGAGGAAGAGCGCCTTGAGCGAGCGGGCCGGGCCTTTCCAGGCTTCGGCTGAAGGCCGGTCACGGTGGCCGAGCTGGAGGAGGCCGGGCCCCGCCCCGCCCCCATCCCCCCACCGGTGGCGGCGGCGGCGGCAGCGGGGGCCCAACCCTCGCCCTTGTTGGCCGCCTCCGCCGCGGGGCCCATGGAGGGCCTGCCCGTGGAAGTGCGGGGCTCCAACGGGGCCTTCTACAAGGTGAGGGTGGGGGGGGAAAAGGAGGAGGAGGAGGGGTTGCCATGGCCACCAGAGGGCGGGGCCCCGTCGCCAAGGGAGAGCCGGGCAGAGGGGGGGGCGTGGAGGTGGAGGGGGGGTTGCAGGAGGGGTGAAGGGGCTCGAAGGCCAAACGGGGGGGGGGGGGCCCCCCCCCCCCCCCCCCCCCCCCCCCCTCCCCCCCCCCCCGGGGCGGCCTAGTCCCCCCTCTAACGGGGGGGGGTCTCACCCAACCCCCCCTCCCCTCCTTTTGCCCCCCCCAAGAAAGGAAGGGGGAGCCCCCCCAAAAAAGTGTCTGGCCAGGGGTGAGAGGCCTAGAAACTATATCCCTCGGGGCTTTGATTGGCAGGGGCAGGTGCCCCCTCCAGGTGGGGGGAGAGAGGGAGGTGGGGGGGTCCGCAGGGAGGCCAGCCGTGGGGCTCCTTCGGGCCCGGCTCCCAGCCTGCCCATCCCTCCATTGGCTCCTTTTAAGGGGATAAAGGGTGGCTTGACCCCAGTTTGGGGTGGGGTGGGGCGGAAGGGGAAGGCGGGAGGGTCTTTCAAGGGGGCCAAAGAAAGCCTGTCGGGTTGACCCTCTAAAAAACTTCTCCTTTTTCTCTTTGTTAGGAAAGCACTGGTTTTTTTTTTTTTTTTAAAGCCTGCCTGAAGCCCCTTCTGCAAAGATTTATTTTCTTATTTATTATTAAGGAGGTATTGTTATTTATTGCCAGGAAGAGAAAAGAGAGCGAGGGGCGTTTCCTTCCCCTGCCTCTCTCCAAATAGCTTCTTTCCTTGTGGGGTGTTCACTTTTCCTGAAAAGTTTAACCCATATTTCCCTCCCTCCACCTTAATGTCTGCTTCAAGGGGAGCCTTGGCCAAGCGTTGTCAGTAACCCAGTGGGAGAAACACACAAACTTCCGTGGGCCAGCTGGGGGGGGGAGGGGGGCCTCTCCAACTTGGCAGACTTTAAGACTTGTGGACTCCGAGGTCCAGAGTTCCTCCAAGAGGAAAGGATGGCAAGAGAGTTAAACAGGCTACAGCAGAGAGATGGCAGAGGAAGGGATTGCAAGAGAGTTAAACAGGTTATAGTGGATAGATATACCAAAAAAGGAATGCATTAGTTCCAGGGAACTCTGGGAGTTGAAGTTCACAAGCCTTAAAGTTACCAAGGTTTTCTTGGGGTTTTAAGATGGGGAGTTTTCCCTCTGCAGTCCTTTTTAGGAGGATGGTACAGTTGCTGGATTTAACACCCTTGCTTTAATAGCTTAGCAGAATCAGACAATGCAGGAATGATATTGGTGTGTGTGAATACCATATATATATGGTATTAAGCTTCGTTCGGGTATTTTCCCACGTCATTACAGTTGTGCTTTTAGAGTTATAGCAACGTTTCGGCAGAATCTCATCTGCCATCATCAGGCTTCTACATTGGGTTCCGTATTGAGATTCTGCTGAAATGTTGCTACAACTTTAAAAGCACAACTATAATGACATGGGAAAATACCCGAACAAAGCTGAATAACATACATGTAAGTACCTGTGAAAACTTAAGAAAACACACACATACACACATCTCCCCCCCCCTCTTTCTCTCTCTTTCTATTTATCTATCTATATACATATATGGAAGCAGGAACCTAGGAATGGGCAGCGTGAACCATTAGTTGGTCTGCATAGCAGAGAAATGCGTTTAGTGTAATTCCTGGTTCCACATTGGAGTAACCTAACCTTTTTTTTTTCTTTCTTTCTTTTATGGGGTAGTGGTGGGATTGTGTGTTTGGCTAATTTTAGATCTCCCACCTCAAGTTGGGAGTCATGCCAGCCTGGGCGTTTGACATGGAGAAGGCCACAAATCAAAGGCAGAAATCTTTTGCGGCCTAATGCTTGGCTCTCTTGAGCAAAGCAGGTTATTTTCAGCCTGTTTGTATGTGCTGTGCTATGGCATCTTTATCAAGTAAGTTATTTTTAAAGCCATAAGTTTGCCATAACACGGTATTTTATTTTATTTTTGAACCAGCAATACAGGCAGACCTCATAGATGTCCTCAAAAGACTCCGTTTGAGCAACCGGGACTGCTGGGAGGGAGGTGGGGAGGAGGGAAAGCCCCCTTTTTTCTACGGATTCAGAAGAAGTTTCAGTCCTCCGCCCTCTTATTTGTAGCCCGGCAGCTTCTCCTGGGGATAGAAGAAGCCATTCTGCCCCTTTGGCCACTTCAAATCTACGTGGCGGGCAGCGGTTTCCATCCCTGCACGTTCTTTTAAATAAGCGGTTGTGGCATTGTGTTGTCTGCCTGTGATGTACCTGGCTGGTTCACGCATAAGACAGAAGGCGGGGTGGTTTCCCATGGCCTCTGACAAAGCTGCAGTTGGCCATTGTGATAGGAGAGCTAGGCCTTAGCGCACACCAGGGTAGGATTCTGAACACACCAAAGCCTCATTCCCGCGATGCCTTTAGGACCTTTGGCTCTTCGTAATAATGCGCTCTAGAAGGGCTTACCCACAGGACTGAAATTGGTGGGAAATTCATTATCCAACCGATGTGATGTCCGTTGGCCTTATGAACTACCTCTTGACAGCGGCATCCTTTCTCCCCTCCCAAAACAAAACAAAACACAAAAACACTTCCCTAGGGGAATTTGCTAACTGATTCCCACGTGTCTTTTAGCTTTCTTTGAGCCTGAGGTGTCTTTATCACTCCCCACCTTTCCCTTGTCTCTTTTTCTGAAATTGCCTGGATGGTTCTGAATTTCTTTGTAAGGTTTGGAAATCCTGCCTTAAGTCAGGGACACCCCCCCCCCACCCTTCCTCCCAAGTTATACGAGGTGCTCTCGTGTCACATCTTGGGTGCCCCCAGCCATTGGGGTTGGTGGCTTAAAAGGGGTATGTGCGAACACGACTCCTTGGTGTTTTCGTTTCCAGGAAAATAAAAGGGAGGATGTGTACAGTCAGGAAATTTGCCTTGTCAACTGCAGCTGGGCGCGATCCAAGTAGCCCTTGGCCAGAACGCCAGGGCCCAGCTCCAGTAGCCGTTCCTTCCCTCTCCGCTGCTTCTCAGGAGGGGACACCCAGATAGATGCCTTTGCCCCCTTGTGGACCCTGGGTGGGGAAGGCCTCGTGCCCTTGGTGGCCAACGGTGGGTCTTCTGAGAGTTGGACTAAGACCTTCATCTCAGCTAGAAAAAACATTTGACATTGGAAAGTGCAGCCCAACTACCCCGTTAACCCTGAAAATACCCCGAAAGTAAGCCCTAGCTTGATTTGGAGACCTGCGCTCAATAGACCCCCTCCCCCCCCCCCCAAATAAGCCCTAATTAAGACCCCCACCAACTCCAGGGTGCTCGGGTAAAAATTCAGCTAGGGTGGGGTGGAGCTGCCCTACGACTTCCCTTCGGACAGGTGTATCCAGGCCTCGCACACTCCAAACACCTGCCTTGCGGGCAGATCAGGTAAAGGGAGGCAGGCGATCTAAATATACTCCCCGGATGCTAGGCCTTGCCCGACGCCAGGGGAGCTGCTTCCCGAGGGCGCGCAAGAGTCACCTCAGGCCTGCTGTGTTGCTCGGGCAGCGAGCCTTAACACAATGGCAGTTGGAAGGGGGCCTTAGAGGTCTTCTAGTCCAACCCCCCCCCTTGCGAGGGCAGGAGACACCTCTCCCCCCACCCCCACGCCATTCCAGACCAATCTCTTTTTTTAAAAGCCTCCACTGATGGAAGCAGCCACACCTTCTGGTGGCAAGCCGTTCCACTGTCCTCATTGTCAGGAAGTTTCTCCTTCATTCCAGGATCCTTCTCTCCTTGTTGAGTTTTCTCCTCCTGCCTTCGGGTGCTTTGGAGAGTAGGTGGGCCCTCCCTCTTCTTTGGGGCAGCCCCTCTGATACTGGAAGACCGTTATCATGTGTGTGCGTCCCCACACACACACACACCCACTTTAATCCTCCTCTTGCCTAGCCTGGCCGTACCCAATTAATGCAACCGTCCTTCGTATATTTTAGCCTCCAGAAGCTCCAAAAACGCTTCACTGGGGACAAGCCCTCTTCTAGCCAGCATTGCCAACCAGGAATGGTGGTTACTGCGGTTACCAGATCTGTCTTCCTCATTCCTCCTGCCCGTAGCCACTTTTAAGAGGAGCGGACTTCTGACTCCTAGAATTCCCCAGCCCGCAAAGCTGGGCTGGGGGATTCTGGGAGTTGAAGTCCCCTCGTCTTAGGTTGGGACATATGGCTTTTAAGCTAGCTGGTGTGACATTTCCTGCCGACCAGGCTCGGGCAGTTTTAAGCCAACGTCGGAGCAAGGAAGGTGGCATATCTGCCCCTTTGCAGTCGGGCAGCTGGCAGCGCGCCCCCCCCCTCCCACCTGTTGCTTCTGTCACCCTTGGGACATGCACTTCAGGCCCTGTTTCCCCCAGCCTCCCTTTGTGGGTTGCCTGCCTTCTCGCCCAGCTTTGTTAGCGACAGGTGCCCGGCTGGCGGGGGCGCTGGGCGAAGAAGGGGAATCTGCCGTCACCGCACTTGCGGGAAGCGGTTGGCCAAAGCGAGCCCTTCTCTGGCATCGGGGACGCAGAGGGATCCAGTAGAAGAGAACCTCTCTAGCTCAGGGTTGAGCTGGAGCTGGTCTCTGCGCCTGGGTGGTTTCCTTGCGGACGTTTCATGACCCAACTAGGGGACCTCACCAGTGCTAGAAGGGAGAGGGGAGAAAGAGCACTGTGGGGTCCTCGGTGCTCTCTTGAGCTTCGTGGTTTTCATTTCATGGCCCATCTGGGGAACCTCATCAGTGGTAGCTGGTTGAAAAATGCTCCTTTCTAGGGCTGACGTATAGAATTCAGATTATTTTCCCCTTCCTGGATTGACAGCTTCGGATTAGATTCAGATTCCCATCCCAGACTCTTAAATGTTTCTTCAACTGATTCCATCACACTTTGCCAGGTCAGGAACCCTTCGATGCGCCTGTGTTTTATTCCCCCCCCCCCCCCAAGAGTTGTCAAGTTTGGAGGGGCGAAGCGCTGGCTTGGATGGGTAATGAACTGGGCAGTTGAGAAGTTGGCTCCTCGTCCTGGGACTAACCGCCTCGGACCTTTGGGAATCCCCAATAAATAGATGGGAAAGAAGGCAGGGCCAAGCTCTGATTATGGGGCGTGGGTGGGTGAGTGGGCAGGGGTTCCCCTAAGCCCCATTCTCTCCGGGACACTGTGGCTTGCCATGCACCTCCGGGAATGAATGGCCTGTGAATGAGGTGCATGCAGGTGAGAAGACCAGCCAAACTCAATCACTTGTCCCCCCCCCCGCCCCCACTTCGCTCTCCTGCCAAGGGGTGTTTGACCACATGCCTGAAGCTGAGCTGGGAGGGGGGAGGGCAGGGGTTCTCTGGACCCCCAAAGCAGCCAGAGTCTGGGGCGCGGGTCAGTGCCCCCAGGCCAGGTGTGCTCTGCTTGGGTGGGTTTAAGAATCACACAGATAATGCAATATGGTTTACCCCCCTAACTTCACCCCACGTGTAAAAGTTGTCTCTCTCACTGCCCCGGAGAATAAATATACGGTATATATTTTTTGCAGATCATGGTTCCCATAAATTCCTTGAGTGTCCAATCACCCTTGGCCAACAAAGAATTCTGTTCTGTTCAGTTCTGCACTATACTATACTATACTATACTATACTATACTATACTATACTATTCTATATTCTAATATTCTAATATATTAATATTCTAATCTTCTAATCTATTCTGTTCCATATTCTATTCTATTTCTTATTCTATTTTATATTCTAATATTCTATTCTATATTCTAATATTCTATTCTATATTCTAATATTCTATTCTAATCTATTCTGTTCCTTATTCTATTCTACATTCTAATATTCTATTCTAATATTCAATTCTATTCTAATATTCAATTCTAATCTATTCTATTCCTTATTCTATTCTATTCTATTCTGTAATGTCGCTTACTAGTCACACATGCACAGGCATCAGTGAGTCTAGCACTTGATTTACCCCCAAGACTCTATTACCCCGTGTTGATTCCAGAATGTTCCCTCGGCCCACCTGGGTGATCTCCTTGCTTATTTGGGGGAGGGGGGTGTCCTCTGCGCTTCGCTTAAAACTTTAGAGCTTTAAATGGTGGTAACACAGAACCTTTTTCTCTCTTTTTTTTCCTCCTTCCCTCTGCAGGGTTTTGTTAAAGATGTACACGAAGATTCGATCACAATATCCTTCGAGAACAAGTGAGTGTTTGACTGACACACACACACACACACAGACACATACACACATAACCCAATGTGGTCTCTTTGTCTCAGAAAGTTGGAAAAGAGCTGGCAGGGACAGTCCCTTCTCTGTTTAGTGGGTAGCTTTGGGGTGTGGTGACTCAAGAGACCACTAAGCGTTCAGGTGAGAGGGATCTCCAAGTCTCAGTGGACAACCAGCTAAAGAGGAGCCAGCCGTGTGCAGCAGCAGCTGCCAAACAAGCCAACGCAATCCTAAATTGCATTAACAGAGGGATACAATCAAGATCAAGGGAGGGATTAATACCACTCTGTAAAGCCTTAGTAAGGCCACACCTGGAGTACTGCATCCAGTTTTAGTCGCCACACTGTTGAGACTCTGGAAAAAGTGCAGAGAAGAGCAACCAGGATGACTAGGGGACTGGAGACTAAAACATACAATGAATGGTTGCAGGAACTGGGCCTGGCTAGTCTAGGGAAGAGAAGGATCAGGGGAGACAGGAGACAGCCTTCCAATATTTGAGGGCAGGGGGTTGGACTAGATGACCTACAGGGTCCCTTCCAACTCTATTAATCTGACTTTCATCTGATTTTAAGGAACAAAAGGACCAGGGGAGACAGGAGAGCAGCCTTCCAATATTTGAGGAGGATGGGTTGGACTAGATGACCCACAAGGTCTCTTCCAACTCTGTTAATCCGACTTGCATCTGATTTTAAGGAACAAAAGGACCAGAGGAGGCAGGAGAGCAGTCTTCCAATAGTTGAGAGCCAGGGTTGGACTAGATGACCTACAAGGTCCCTTCCAACTCTGTTCATCTGACTTTCATCTGATTTTAAGGAACAAAAGGACCAGGGGAGGCAGGAGAGCAGCCTTCCAATAGTTGAGGGCAGAAGGGGGTTGGACTAAATGACCTGCAAGGTCCCTTCCAACTCTGTTCATCTGACTTTCATCTGATTTTAAGGAACAAAAGGACCAGGGGAGGCAGGAGAGCAGCCTTCCAATATTTGAGGACAGAGGGGGGTTGGACTAGATGACCTACAAGGTCCCTTCCAACTCTGTTCATCTGACTTCCATCTGATTTGAAGGAACAAAAGGACCAGGGGAGGCAGGAGAGCAGCCTTCCAATATTTGAGGGCAGGGGGTTGGACTAGATGACCTACAAGGTCCCTTCCAACTCTGTTCATCTGACTTCCATCTGATTTTAAGGAACAAAAGGACCAGGGGAGGCAGGAGAGCAGCCTTCCAATATTTGAGGGCAGGGGGTTGGACTAGATGACCCACAGGGTCCCTTCCAACTCTGATGATCTGTTCTCTGTTAAAAAGTATCCCTGTGCTCTTAAAAAAAATGGAATTGTGTTCCTGGCACTTTCCCCTCTGGCTGGCTTAACAAATCCTGGATTTAGCTGTTTGAGCCACTGTATGACCGGAACCGTGGTCTCAGCATGTTGCTAAGCCATTGTTAAGCCATGATAGTGGAATATTTGCTTTGGCACTTCGTCTTATGTGGATGCTATGTGTGTTTTTTTCCTTAATCAACCCAGGTTTTCCAGCAGGGGTTTAGATCTAAACCAAGCTGGAAGGGACCTTGTAGGTCATCCAATCCAGCCCCCCCCCCCCCCCACGTAGGACCCTTTTCCACCATTTCCAACAAGTGGCAGCCCAGTCTCTTCTTGAAAGCCTCCAGTAATGTCCTTTGCTTCCTCTGGCCTGGTCTTCTTCCATTAATATCAACTGGTTGCCCTTTTCCCGAAAGTGGAGCGCAGAAGGCTTTTCTCTCTTTCTTCCTTTCCACGCTCAAACTTTTGGAAAAGGCCAACCAGTTTGTTTATTTTATTTATTTTATTTATTTTCTATTTATTTGATTTGTCAATCGTTTACAAGATAATGGGTATAAGTAAAAACATAGTTATGAATACATGAAATGGGTACATATAAGAAAAATAAAATATAAACGAAACCATAGGACAGGGATGGTGGGCACATTGGTGCGCTTATGCAGGCCCCCCTGCACACCTCTTAGGAAAGGGGTGAGGTCCATAGTAGACAGTCTAAGGTTAAAGTTTTTGGGGTTTGGGGAAAGAAACCACAGAGTCAGGTAGAGGATTCCAGACATTGACCGCTCTGTTATTGCTGAAGTCGTATTTCCTGCCATCAAGTTTGGTGCGATTAACCTTGAGTGTGTATCTATTGTGTGCTCATGTATTGTTGTGGTTGAAGCTGAAGTATTCATTGACAGGAAGGACATTGCAATGTATGATTTGATGTACTACACCTAGATCGGACCGAAGATGGCGTAGTTCAAGGTTTTCTAGGTCTAGAATTTCAAGTCTGGTGGCATAAGGTCTTCTGCAAAGAGTAGAGGAGGGGAGAACTCTTCTTCTTGTGAAATATTTCTGGACTTTCTCCACTGTGTTAATATCAGATATGTGATGTGGGTTCCAGACTGCTTGTTGACAAAATGCCCGGCTTAGCGGGGAAGCATCTTCGGCCTCGCTCCTTCATCTCGTTTTCAGTTTTGTTTTTGTTCTTTCCCAATTTTATGTTACGGCTTCTCCACTGCTTCCATCATTATTGATCAGTTTGCTGCCCGTCTCACTGGAGGCAACTCTGGGTGGCACACAGAAAACCAGTAAAACCGGGAGATGTTTAAAAAAAAAAAACCATACGAAGTCACACTGAAAGGAAATATTACAAAAAGAGAGCCACGCATCATGGCAGGCAGATAGAAATCATTTTATTTTATAGTGGGAGTTGAGTAGATGACTTTAGTGCCATT